GGAGCATTTCCGGTTGTGCTTTGGGTCTGTGCTGACCACCGCCGCCTTTCTAACATGTCCACACGCTTTCCTCTTCAGTTTTAGGATTTCATCTTGACGCGATATTATTTTAGGTCTAAACACAAAAGAAAGGTTGGAAGGCCAGCGAGGGCTCAATGGATTGTTTTCCGTGTTTACTGTGCAAATCGAGGATCGGAAAGTCCTCACTCTACCGCAAGGGCATCAAGAAGGTTCATGAGGGCCGATATTTCGATTCGGATATCATCTTCCGTCAGGTCCTTCATGAGCACCCAGCTCAGGAGTTTTGGATGAAAGTGCACAATGGTGTGCGGCAGATGGACCTCGTGGATTTTCCCGATCCACCCCACGAGACGCTCGGTAAGGGTATCAAGGATACGGAGGTGAACCGATACGAGATGATCGAGTTTTCTTTCGATACTCGTCTTGCACAGGCGGTCGACTTCATTCGCACATGCATGGATATCGCTAATGCATACTTAAATCAACCTGAGAACGAGATCAATACCAAAATTGCGATGTGTTACTACGCCTTTACTATCACCTATCTGCTTGAGTTTCTTCATCTAATGATGTTGTGGAAGAGTGAGGTTGGAGAAGCCCTGTTGTCGCAGTCTGATTCGGCTAACAATCCTACCGATAAATACTTTGCCACACCCCATGACATCATGCAAGTTTTCAAGCATACAAAGCATTTAGCAATTTTTTACTTTGTGAGCGCCACACTTTGCTACACTATGCTTAGTGTACAGTACATTCACCGTCTAGATGGGTCCAAGGAGAAGTTAAAAACACGCATTCTAAACAACTGCTTGGAGTTAGTGAATTCTGTACACTATGTTATGCGGCGCTTAGCCCTTTTGATGCCGGAGTCTCCCACGGCACAGGTTTTCCTTGAAAAAATGCCTGGCCTGGAGTTTTCCATCTATGAAGAGCCCGAGGAAGATGAAGAAAAAAGCACCGCGTGTAGGACCGAAAGCTCTTGCCCAAGATCGAAAATTCAATCTATCAAGGGGGGTTGGTCAGTCATTGTGGACGACATTTCAAGGAATAGGGGTGTTGATTCCTTCTTTTTCCAACTAAAAAGAATACATCCAGGGATGAGGATCGTGCGGGAGCTCCCAAAGAATCCTCGCGTGCGGTTTCTCATCCCGACCAAGCTTCCTAGAAATCGTTTGGCCCATATTGAACCGCCGACGGAGCGTAACGCGTTCCATTACATCTCATGTTTTTTAACGGAGTACGTGACGATAATACCCGGGCAGAGTGTGCACTACTTGGCGCGGGAGCTGCCGGAGCGGTTCGGGATCGACGGCCAGTTCCCCCTCAAGCAGACGGTCGGCGATGCCGTCAAGCCGCATACGAATCCGATGGAGAGTCCAAAGGGGTGCGGCACCATTGCGGTGAACTTTAAATCCGATAGCGTGGCCCACCAGCTCTCCACCCCCGGGACGAATCACAACGTGTTCAGGCGGAAAACTTCCGTACGCGTTGTGGAAAGTATCCGGCGTCACCTCAACCTCAACGACTTACGCATGCTGGCGGTGGTCTGTCTGGAGGAGCTCATGCTGGTGGGAGCCCCGATGTGGGTGGTGACGGCTTATTTGTTAGAAGAAATGGGAAGGCACGAGCGCGCGATGGAGTTTATCCGGCTGATGACACTTTGCGCTGATGTGATGTATGGGGTAGACTCTTTTGAGTACAGCTTGTTGATCTCGCTGCGTGATTTGTGCACCATTAAGCTCTAGTGGGGGTCAGTGGTGTCGTCATTAACTGTGCGTTTGATTTACTATTCCATGCGTCTCCCTGAGACCTTTGCAGGGCTTCCCTAATACTTCTTTTTATTGGCTGAGTGTATATTCGTCTGCTGTTAATGTGGGGTATTTCCTACCCTGCTCAGTCATGCGAAGCGTGTCATCATCAAATTGGTGTGGAGAGGGTTGCACAGCCCGCTACTGTGCCAGATTTCACTGTGGAGCCTCCCCATCTCTGATGTCACCACGTGCTGAATCTGAAAAGACGAGAACTGTGTTGCTTATCGCGTAGATGTCTCGGAGAAATGCTCAAATTCCAATCGATAACAAGGTGTTGTTGTAACAAAGTTTCGTTATACTCTTTTAATAGCTTGTGCCTTACTTTAATTCATTGCATTTCAGCATCGATTGAATTGCTTTGTTTAGTACAAATACACACACACACACATAATTAGAATCTAAAACGTCTTCAGATAAAGTTAACTCTAGCCTAAAAAGTCTTCAATCTCGGGAGGGTTCGATGTTTTTAATTGTTGAGATACTCATATAATTACTAAATATCTTTTCATTAATAGAATTCAATTTTATGATGTGTATTCAAAAACC